GGGGGGGGGGGGGGGGGGGGGTATCCTGTGTCAGAGCTTAGGAGCCCAATTGAGGAAAAATTACCTCCTGGTTTTCAAAGACAACTGTAGCCATTCCTAAAATATATGGCTCTGTGGGAGTTGGTAAAATTTTATCACTTATGAGATCTGAAGTACTAGAAAGAACATAGGCTTTAGAGCCAGGAGGTACTGATTTTGAATGTATTTATTAACTTGTGAAGCCTTGGGCAAATTACTTAACCACTGAGTCTCAGTTTCCTCATCAGAGGAATAATGGTATCGCTAGTTTACTGGATCTCTGTGATGATTTACCACACAGCACAGACTAGGCAGTGAATGTTCGGTGTCTTATATTAATTGGTGCCAACACCATTTCATTCTCTTTACTTAAGAGAACTCATTTCTAAGAATTGCCTTCCCTTGAGTATGGTTTTAGTAAATCCCTTGACTTGCCTACCTGTGGTGGCCAGGACTCCCTGGTCCTTTGACTGGGATTACTGATGCCAATTTTGTATGTTTTTTCCCCCAGCTATCTCTTAAATCCCTACACGGTCTTGTCTTGTGTTGCCAAGTCTACCTGTGCCATCAATAACACCCTCATTGCCTTCTTCATTTTGACCACGATAAAAGGTAAGGCCCCAAAGGAAAGCCCAAAGCTCGGTCCCTGACTTGATTTGTGTAGGGTTTTGTAATACTTCTTCTGTGGATTAAAAAAAAAAAAATCCAACACTTAAGAACATATTTTTTAATTACACAAATAATACAGGATTATTATAGGAAATTTAGGTAAGCTAAGAGAAAAAAAAATTAGAAGATGCTGAAATTCTACTACTCAAGAGAGTTACTGTTAATAGAGTTGGAAAAAAACAAACAATGGGGCACCTGCCTGGGTCAGTTGGAAGAGCATGAGACTCTTGATCTTGGGGTCCTGAGTTTGAGCCCCATGTTGGGTCTACATAGAGATTACTTTAAAAAATAAGCAATTAAACTTTAAAAAACAAACAAAAAACTGAGAAAAAGCTTATAATGAGAAGAGCAGTCCTTTGCCTCTCTTCCCATCCCTAGTTCAACTTCAAAAGAACTACTTTCTGGCTTTTGCTGGTATTTACTTCCATATTTCTTTTCTTTTATTTTTTTCAAAAAATTTTTAATGTTTACTTATTTATTTTGAGAGAGAAAGAGAAAGCAGGGAAAGGGCAGAGAAAGGGAGAAATAGAGAATACTAAGCAGGCCCCATGCTGCCAGCACAGAGCCTGATGCAGGGCTCGAACCCACGAACTGTGAGATCATGACCTGAGCTGAAACCAAGAGTCGGAGGCCTAACCAACTGAACCACCCAGGTGCCCTACTTCCATATTTCTAAGATCTCATATTGCTATTTCATGAATTATATATTTTAGACATTATCTATTGCATTCCCATATGGGAGATAAAGATTCAGCTCTTTTGTATCATGTCTTCACTTCCCTTTTACCTAAGAGAAGTTATATCACAGTCTTGATTAAATCAGTAGTTGGTACCTATATTTTATGACACAGTATGTATTATTCATTGTTGGGCAAAGTAGTAACTATGATTACTTTTTCTTTCTTGTATAACCTTTTCTTCTTCCTGGGGTTAAAAATTATCTTTTGGGGGGGCACCTGGGTGGCTCAAAAGGTTAAGCATCCGACTCTTGGTTTTGGCTCAGTTCATGAGATCAAATCCCACATTGGGCTCTGTGCTGACAGTGCAGAGCCTGCTTGGGATTCCCTCTCTCTCCCTTTCTCTCTGCCCCTCCCCCACTTATGTGTAGGGTCTCCCTCTCTCTCTCTCTCTCTCAAAATAAATAAAAATTAAAAAATAATAGTAATAATAATTTTTTTTTGCTTGTTTTTGCTTAGTCTTTTTGTCCCTATCCCTATTTTCCCCCATTGTTCTGCTAGATCTATCAAGTGCCTAACAATAGTTTTTTAAAAATGCTTATTTATTTATGTTTAGAGTTTTAAAATTTGCTTGAGAGAGAGACAGAGTGTGTGAGTGGGGGACAGGCAGAGAGAGAGGAGAAAGAGAATCCCAAGCAGGCTCCCTTGTTGTCAGCACAGAGCCCAATGTGGGGCTTGATCTCACAAACGGTGAGACCATGACCTGAGCTGAAATCAAGAATGGGATGCCTAACGGACTGAGTCACCTAGGCACCCCTAAAAAATGTTTAAATTTTTTTTTTTTCAACGTTTATTTATTTTTGGGACAGAGAGAGACAGAGCATGAACGGGCGAGGGGCAGAGAGAGAGGGAGACACAGAATCAGAAACAGGCTCCAGGCTCTGAGCCATCAGCCCAGAGCCCGACGCGGGGCTCGAACTCACGGACCGTGAGATCGTGACCTGGTTGAAGTCGGACACTTAACCGACTGCGCCACCCAGGTGCCCCAGAAAATGTTTAAATGCATCAAATATTCTGTCAGTTCCATTTTTTATCTGAAGACTTCTCTCACACATCCTGCATCCTGCCCCAATCTTCCCTGTTTTTTTCTGGGCTTGGTGCAAAGCTGTCATACTGGGACTCCCCTTTACAATTCTCCTGTGTCATTTCCCTTCTTTCCTGGATTCCTTCTCTCCTTCATTGATTTTTTCCCTCTGTTTTGCTAAAGTGTTTCCTCTAGTAGTTTCCTAAGAAAGGGTGTAAGAGGTACATATTTTGAGTCATTCTTCGTCTGAACACAGTCTTTATTCTAGTTTAGCACCAACTTAATAGTTGGGGCAAAGTATAGAATTCTAGACCAGAAAAACTTTTCCTTCAGAATTTGGAGGTATTGCTTCACTGTCTTCTCGCATCCTGGTTGCTATTCAGCAGTTTGATGCCATTATATGTAACCTATTTTTTTCTGAAAGATTTAGGATCTCCTTTTTGTCCTCAGTGTTTTGAAATTTTATGATGCTATGTCTTGACATGGGTCTTTTTTAATTTATTATGCTTGGTACTTGGGAGACTCTTTCAGTATGGACACCAGTGTCCTTTAGTTCTAGAAGGTGTTCTTGGACTATTTTTCAAATTCTTTCCTCTCTGTTTTCTCTGTCCTCTTGTTTGGGACATGTATTGGATATTGGCCTTTCTTGATTGGTCTAATTTGCATATATTATTTTCAGTGGACTTTTCCATCTTTTTTTGCTTATTTACTTCCTCTTACTTTTGCTGGGATACTACTGTGTTTCTGTTTATTTTTTATTTTTATTTTTTATTTGAGAAAGAGAGACAGAGACTGACTCTTAATCAGGCTCCATGCTCAGCACAGAGCCTGATGTGAGGCTCAATCCCATGATCCTGGGATTATGACCTGAGCTGAAATCAAGAGTCATATGCTCAACTGACTGAGCTACCCAAGTACCCCACTGCTGTGTTTTTTAAATTTTTTTTTTTCAACGTTTTTTACTTTATTTTTGGGACAGAGAGAGACAGAGCATGAACAGGGGAGGGGCAGAGAGAGAGGGAGACACAGAATCGGAAGCAGGCTCCAGGCTTCGAGCCATCAGCCCAGAGCCTGACGCGGGGCTCGAACTCACGGACCGCGAGATCGTGACCTGGCTGAAGTCGGACGCTTAACCGACTGCGCCACCCAGGCGCCCCCCCCACTGCTGTGTTTTTATCTTCTAACTCTACTATTGAATTTTTAATTTTTTTAAAGTTTATTTATTTTGAGAGAGAGAGCATGAGTGAGAGAGAGGCAGAGAGAGAGAGAGAATCCCAAGTAGGCTCTGCACTGTCAGCATAGAGCCAGATGCAGGGCTTGAACCCATGAATTGTGAGGTCATGACCTAAGCAGAAATTGAATGCTTAACTAACTGAGCCACCCAGGTGTCTGAATTTTTAAATTGCATATATATATATATATATTTTTTAATCTGTTTTTATTTTTTTATGCCTATTTTTAAGTTAAACTCTATGCCCAATGTGGGGCTCAAACTCATTACCCTGAGATCAAGACTCACATGCTCTACCGACTAAGCCAGCCAGATGCCCCTATTTTTTTATTTTAAAGTTCTTTCTTTGTCTCCAGTTGTTTCTTTGAAGCATCCTATTATTATTTTATCACCACAGTATCCTCTCTTCTCCCTTTGAGTTTTGGTTGGTTGTTTTTTTTTTTGTTTGTTTGTTTGTTTGTTTGTTTGTTTGTTTTTTAGTTTACATCAGTTCTAAGCACAGTCCCTTTGTCTTCCTGGACCCCCACTCCCCACCTGCCCTTTTTCTTTTCCTTTTTGTTTTGGTCTTTGTCTTTCACATGGGAGGATTTTCTCTTATTTTTGATGATCCTTGGCTGTTTGTCTATTATTTAAAACTGAGGCACTAACACGTTCATTCAAGACTCTGTGAATGGGCAGGAATCAGGCTCACTGTAAGGAGATCTGGCAGTGGGCTGACCTTTTTTCTTGGAGGTATCCCTAAATGTCTTCATTTATAATAGGTTTTCTTTTCCTCTGGAATACTTTAATTTTTCCAAAGAAGAATCTTCCAATTTTCTGCCTAAGGGTAACCAAGATGAAGTTTTGGTGGGGTGGGGGGCTTATGTGACCAATTGCTAGAGTTGAAAGAGCAGGAACAGGGGCCACAACTGACTGCAATATAGAGACTTTATGTAATCTCATTCCTTTTCAGCCCACACTTCCTCTCAGCCCATTACTATGAATAGTATCCTCTAGACCTGTGTCTCTTTAGTGTTCTCTGAAACTGTAGTTTCTGGGGGTGGAGTAGAAGGTAGAAAGATGGGGTATGTAGGGGTAGTCATCGGACTGCACATAGATGAGATGTGACCTGGGGTTCTGACGTCTGTTTCAGCTTGATTTTCATCTCTGTACCCCCACCTTCCATAGTACCTGATGCCTTCAAGGTGCTGAGTTTCTTGGAAGTTCTAGGGGGTGAGTTAGCCTGATTTTTGTTGCTGTTCCTGTCCCTAGGCCATTAAACTATAATTTCTTCCATGTGGCTCAGTCATTTATCCCTCTTTCACCTGTTTCCGCTATTGTATTAAACTTCATTTTGCTCTAATCCTCTCTCTTTTGTTGTTTAAGACTAGTTTTATTCCTTTATTGTCATTTTAGTGAGGTTTTTGGAGGGAGGATATGCATGTGATCATTCTACCACTTTTAACTGGAATTCTTTTAGCATTTAGGGTATATATTTCCAGACTTTTTCCCTCATTTTTCTTTCAGACTTTTAAATATTACTGTTATCAATCAACTGTTGCTACAAAAATTGTTGTTTAACAAATTACTCCAAAACTCAGTGGCTTAGAACAACAATAAACTTTTACTTGACTCATATATCTGTAAGTCAGTCAGGGGTCAGTTGATCTAGGTTACACTTGGCTAGGCAGTTTGTTGGTTTCATTGGGACTCATTCATGTACCAGTGGCTGGCTATAGTTTGCTAATCTAGGCTGGACCCTTCTCCACATGTCTGTCATCCTGCTGGACCAGGGAACTGAATTAGGCATGTTCTTTTCATAGTGAGAGCAGAGGCACAACTGTGAGCAAGCCCAATCAGGCATGCAGTTTTAAGTTTCTGGTTATACCACATGTGCTAACATCCCATTGATCAAAACAACACCTGGCTGAGCTTAGGAGTGGAGACTTCCATCTTGTCCACAATGGAAGGG